TTTTTATAAATTTAAAGATTTTTCATTTTCGAAACAACTCTGAATGTAAATCCTATCAGTTACATTAAAAATTATCGATCCTACTCCACTTAAAAATATTTGAGGCCCCTCATAGTGAAAATCTTCTATTGACTATTGTCGACATTCTCTCTCCCTTTGGTCGTTTTCAAAGCATTTAGACTTGAATGGAACGATCAGCACCCATGCTTAGTAATATCCTGTAATACGTACCATGATGTAATATCCACCTGAAACATATTAAAGGAAGTATAATTCTACCAACTACTAAAATGAAATTACTTTGTTGTACACCTTTCTTATTTAATAATTTTTATTGCCGATTATTGACACTTTATTGCCTTTCACGCAATTGATACATCTAGATTTCGATGTTAGACGAACACTCCCATATTATGTCCAAAAATTGTAAACTAAAACATAGGAAACTGAATACAATTCTCACTAAGGAATTTGAAAATAAAATCTTTAACACTTTTCTGTGTTTTACTCTCTTCTAATAGAGAATATCGGCTCTTTATGAAAACTAACCCATAAAGCATCTTACCAGAGCGACTTGATTGAGATGGTACGATCAGCATACTAATGTCGCTGCTTGAAACATGAAACAAAATATTTCTACCAACTACATTGAAAAATTTCACTTTTAGTTGTAACATACCCCAGGTAGAGAACATTTTCTATTAACGATTGCTGACATTGTCGCCCACGCTACGCGTGTTTAATGCTTTTAGATTGGAGCTTCCCGCACCATCATGCTGCGTTAAGTAACTTCTAACTGAATCATTTAAAATTAAATATCTCCAACTAAATTGAAAGAATCAAAATTTTTTACTTTGTTCGCCCTTTTAGAGTATCTGCGACTGACGATTGCCAACATTGTCGCCCACGATACTTATTTTCAATGCATCTAGATTCAGATTATACGATCTTGTTAAGTAATTGATACCTGAAACAAAATAACAAAACATAATTCGTCCCAATGACAAATATTCACATTATCACATTTATTTTTTATACAATTTAAAATATTCACATTGTAGTTCTCACTTCTTATAGAGTATCTTTTATTGACTATTTTCGACATATCGTACACATTGCTCGTTTGCAATACATTGAGATCACAAAGCAATGTCACTAGTCATGCTCCGTGAAGATGTTGCTACCTGACACACATGAAACGAAATAATATTTTAAAGTGGAGAGATTCAAAAATATGACAATGTTTACCCTTCTTCGATATTAATTTTCTCATCATAGTCGACATCGTCGCTCCCTATTCTCATTTTCAATGCATCTACTTTGGAATTTCAGACCCAGCACACTCAGCTTTTTACGTAATTCTGATCTGTAACAAATTAAACGAAATTTAATTACCACGGATGACATTTGTAAGATATTTAAGGATTTCACATTGTTGTACACCCTTATAGAGAATATCTTCTGTTGACGATTGTCGACATTGTCACCAAAGCTGTCTTTCAATGCATTTCGATTGGGATGGTACGACTAGCATAGCAAGTTCATGGGGTGTAGCAACATGAACCCAGTGTAACTGTAGCTATATGAACTTGATATCTGAAGCATGACAAAATATTACTTCTAACTAAATTGAAAATATTCACATTGTCACCACTCGATGGAAACCATATTCTACTGACGATTGTCGACATTGTTGTCCGCGATTCCTCTTTTCAGTGCATCGATTATGATAGTATGATCAGCACGCGACTACGTTATTGCCACCGGAAACTAAATATAATTACATTTTGATGGAATTGACAAATATCACATTGGTGTATCCCTTTCTTACATAGAATATCTCCAGTTGATGACTGTTGACACACTAGCCTACGGTGCTTGTTGCAATGCATGTTTATTGTTGAGGCACATACAAACCCTGTCACACAGCCTTCTTATAGAGAACCTCTCTTGTTGACCATTAGACCCGCGGCGACGAAGCGGGTCTCATTTCTGGGAATGTTTGTGGTTAAACGCTTCAATAAATACAAGATATCTTTAAAACACACCATGACAATATTGAAAATGTACGCCTCTTATCGAGAGTATCTTCATAGATTACTTGCCATTGTACTTACGCTGCGTTTTTCAACGCGTCTGGCTTGGTAAGGGACGACCTGTACTCACGGTGCATTTTAACCTGCAACTTGAGAAAGAGTATAATAATGAAAACTAATTCTAATGACAACCGTTTTCAAAATGACATTACTGCGTACCTGTTTTCTGGAGTATTACTGCCTTTGCAAAAATGTGGACATTGATGCGCGTGCTGTGCATTTGCAATGCGTCTGGTTCTGATGATGCCATGAAATGCACGCCGCATGCATGGGGGGGGGCGGCGGCTTTGTCCACATGTTAATTTGACCCTTCCTAAAATCGATGTTCAAATATGAAGAAAATCCAATCAATCCAAATATATTAGATATATGTACATATCAATCAAGAATGAGAGTTTTATAATTACATTGAAAATACGGCAAATTAGTTTTCATTTTTATTGAATTGAATAATATAAACTTGAAATGCATTAACTAGCAACATTCCACATTTTGACTATTATACAATTACGCGCGACTCATTTCTGCGTTTAGTTTAATTATTTATCGCTTTTTTATTGTATTTTCTGAAAAAATTAGTAATAAATATATTAAAGGATAATGTATTCGTCCATTTGTGACACTTAGGGGCTGAGCCGGGCTCATGTGGTGGGTACAGCCGCTTAAACCGGAGGTTGACGACGTCGTACGAAATCTATAAAGTAAGTCATGATGTAGGGATTCAACAAAAAGTATGGAATATTATGACGAAAGATTTTGTTGGTGAGAGAAATACGTTTATATTGTTTAAACGCGATGGTTTGTCTATTTATTTAAACAATTGAACATTCAGACTAGTGATGTATATATTGCATAACAGGAATTGCTAAATTGCAATTTGTGGTGGGGAATAATTAAGTGTCGAATAAGAAATTATACGTATTTAAGGTGGGATGATTATTGAAGAGATTGTGAGCAAGAGCTTCAGCTCATAAAAAATATGTAGAGTGGAGAAGAGACGCGGAGTAATTGTGAGAGGGAGAAGAAGACGACAATATCAGTATACAATATGATGTGTAGTCTATACCTAGGAGTGAAGTTGAACAGAGTTAGATTAAGAATTTAAAGAAAGTTATGTCAAATTAATATTTGAGATAATGTAGTGAAGTAAGCAGCACAAAAACTGCAAATCGCTAACAGATAAGGAGAAGCAAAGAGAGAGAGAGAGAGAGAGAGGAGAGTAGACACACCAAAGAGAGAGAGAAGAGAACCCAGCGCAGAGAGAGAAGAAAAAAGAGAGGACACACACAAAGAGAAGAGAGACACACACAATAGAGAGAGAGACACACACAAAAAGAGAGAGAGAAACACCACAAAGAAGAGAGAGAAGAACACACACACAAGAAGGAGAGAGACACAACCAAAGGAGAGAGAGGACACCAAAGAGAGAGGAGAGACTACACACAGAGAGACGAGAAGAGGAAAGCAGCAAATGAGAAGCTAATTGAGGTAAAGGGTGAGAGGAAGCACACCTGAGCGGGAGGCAGGATATTGACAGACCAGCTGTTTTATAGAGGTGGCAATAGAAAGATGCCGATAAAAGAAGGGGAGAACAGAGAGAAGTCGACACGCACCACAAGATAGAGAGATGAGCACATATAGGACGAGCATGCACAGATATGCAGAGGACGCAGACGAAGTCTAGTACACATGCAATGTTGTAAGTAGGATACCGATGACACACATAAGAAGTGGACGACACGCTCAGCAGAAACTCAGTAAAGCAGCTAGAGAGGAGGAGATCATCTACACGTGAGTGAGTATCACTAGACCGCGGATGGCGGCAAAGATGATGATGCACAAAGAGCGAGAGACCCAACAAAGCGAGGGAGAGGGAGAACACCCCAAAGAGAGAGCACCAACACAAAGAGGAGAGAGACACAGACACCAAAGGAGAGAGAGACCAGACACACAATGAGAGAGGACATCACCACATCAAAGAAGAGAGACACATCACACAAAAGAGAGTAGAGAGAGACACATCACACATCAGAGAGAGGAGAGAGGAGAGAGGTACACACCACAAATAGAGAGAGAAGAGAGAGACACACAGATCCGAGAGCGAGAGGGAGAGACTAACATATCACACACAAGAGAGAGAGAGAGAGACCACACAAAGAGAGAGGAGAGAGAGACAGCACACCAGAAGAGAGAAGAGAGAGAGAGAGACACCCACACGAAAGAGAGAGATGAAGAGAGAGATCACACAACCAAGAGAGAGAGAGAGAGAGAGATCACACCACAACACAAAGAGAGAGAGGGAGAGAGACACAACAATTCACAAAGAGTAGAGAGACACACACACAACAAAGAGAGAGAGACACACAAAGACCACAAGGGAGAGAGGACACACCCTACACCACAGAATGAGAGAGACACACCACACGAAGAAGACGAGAGAGAGACACACACACAAAGAGAGGAGAGAGACACACAACACAAAGAGATGAGAGAGAGGACAACAACTAATCACGAGAGGAGAGAGAGAACCACACAAAAGAGAGGGAGAGAGACACACACACACAAAGAGAGAGAGAGAGAGCCCACCAACAAAGAGAGAGAGAGAGAAACACAAGACAAAGAGAGTAGAGGAACAATTCACAGCACCAAAGAGAGAGAGAGAGAGAGAGAGAGAGAGACCATACACACAAAGAGAGAGAGAAGAGAGAGACACACACCCAAGAGAGAGAGAGAGGAGAGAGCAACACCAAATGAAGAGAGAGAGAGAACACACACAGAAAGAGAGGAGAGAGAGAGACCACTCACCCAAGAGATGAAGAGGAGAGAAACCACACAGCACAAAGAGAGAGAGGAGGAAGCCAACAACCCACAAGAGAGAGAGTGAGAGAGACACCCACACAAGAGAGAGAGAGAGAGAACACGACACAACAGGAGAGAGACACCACAGACAAAGAGGAGAGACACACACATCACACGAGAGAGGAGACACAGCCCACACAAGATAGAGAGAGAGGACACACGACACACAAAGACAGAAAGCAGGATAGAGAGAACACACACACAAGAGAGGAGAGAGAACAGCACACAAACACAAGAGCGAGAAGAGAGGACACAACATACACAAATAAGAGAGAGAGGGAACACAACAAAGGAGAGGAGTAGAGCACACAACCAAGAGAAGAGAGAGACACACACACAAAGAGAGAGAGAGAGAACCACACACAGAAGAGAAGCAGAAAAGAAACAACACAAAAAGAGAGAGGAAGCCAAACCAAAGAAGAGAGAGAGGACACACACACAAGAGAGGAGAGGACAACACACAGAAGAGAGAGAGAGAGACAACACACTAACAAGAGAAAGAGAGAGAGACAAAGAGAAAGAGAGAAGAGAGACAAAGAGAAAGAGAGAGAGAAGACAAAGAGAAAGAGAAGAGAGACAAGAGAAAGAGAGAAGAGACAAGAGAAAGAGAGAGAGAGACAAAGAAAAAGAGAGAGAGACAAAGAGAAAGAGAGGAGAGACAAAGAGCAAGGAGACGAAGACAAAGGAAAGAGAGAGAGAGAGACAAAGAGATAAGAGGAGAGAGAGAGAGAGACAAAGAGAAGAGGAGAGAGGCACAAGAGAAAGAGAGAGAGAGAGAGAGACAAAAGAAAGAGAGAGAGAGAGGAGACAAGAGAAGAAGAAAGAGAGTACAAGAGAAAGAGAAGAGAGACAAAGAGAAAAAGAAGTCAAGAGAGACGAAGAAAAGAGAAAGAGAGAAGAGAAGAGAAGAGAGACAAGAGAAGAGAGACAAAGAGAAAAGAGAGACAAAGAGAAAGAGAGACCCCAAGAGAAAGAGAGACAAGGAAAAGAGAGACACGAGAAGAGAGACATAAGAGAAAGAGAGACAAAGAGGAAGAGAGGACAAAGAGGAAGAGAGACAAAGAGGATCGAAGACAAAGAGGAGAGAGAGAGAAGAAGAGACAAAGAGAAGAGAGCAAAGAGGAATGAGAGACTAAAGAGGAAGAGAGACAAAGAGGAAGAGAGACAAGAGAAGAGAGAAAAGAGAGAGGACAAGGGAGAGAGACAAAGGAAGAAGAGACAAAGAGAAAGAGAGACAAGAGAAGAGAGACAAAGAGAAGGAAGACAAAGAGTGAAGAGAGACAAAGAGGAAGAGAGACAAAGAGGAAAAGAGAGGCACAAGAGGAAAGAGACAAAGAGGAGAGAGACAAAGAGGAAAGATGACACAGAGGAAGAGGACAGAAGAGGAAGAATGACAGAGGAATGAGAGACAAAGAAGGAAGAGAGACTAAAGAGGAGAGAAGCTAAGGTAAGAGAGCAAAGAGGTAAGAGAGACAAGAGAGAGAGACAAGAGGAAGAGAGACAAAGAGGAAAGAGAGAACAAGGGTAAGAGAGACAAAGAGGATAGAGACAAAGAAGGAAGAGAGACAAGAGAGAGAGACAAGAGGAAGAGAGACAAAGAGGGAAGAGAGCATAGAGGAAGAGAGACAAGAGGAAGAGAGACAAAGAGGAAGAGAGACAAAGAGGAAGAGAAAAAGGACAAAGAGAAGAGACAAAGAGAAAGAGATCAGAGGAAAGAGTAAAAGAAGAGATAAAGAGAAAGGAGATAAAGAGAAAGAGACAAAGAGAAGAGACAGAAGAGAAAAGAAAAGAGAAAGAGACAAAGAGAAAGAGACTAAGAAGCGGAAAGAACAAAGAGAAAGAGACGAATAGAAAGAAGACGAATAGAAGAGACGGAATAGAAAAGAGACGAATAGAAGAGACGAATAGAAAGAGACGAATAGAAAGAGACGAATAGAAAGAGATCGAATAGAAAGAGACGAACTAGAAAAGACGAAGAGAGAGAAGACGAAAGTGAAGAGACAAAGAAAGACAAAGAGAGAGACAGAATGACAAAGAGAGTAATAAGATAAAGAGGAGAAAAAGACAGACAAATGAGAGACTAGGCGTAGTAGATAAGAAAAGGAAATAGAGAGGACATAGGAGGATTAATGTACAAGTTGCATTAAATTTAAACCATCTCTTGCTTAATGGCAAACGCAATTTTATCACATATCGCATTTGTCTTTCACCATAAGTATAAAATTTTTACATAAAATGCACAGATGGCATTGCATTATTATTTCACATTACGGAATACAAATCAAAATGATGGAAACCTGTTTAAACAAACAATCTAGACCTGTCATTGCTATTCTTTGAGTTTTCATGCTAAATTTGATTGAGATTATTTTAATTCCTACTCGTCTCACAGTACCCTCGAGATGAAGGAGCTGAAAATTACACAGAAGCCGATGTAACTGCAGTGCTTTCTACGCCTGACAGTTTATTAGAACAATGCTAAGGAAGAATGATATTCAAATTAAATAACGAAAGGTGTCTAACTCGCCAATAATGAATTATTGAACTGTTTCCGTTTGTTATACGCTCTAATGACTTTAATTTGGTGAAAAGATTGTAATTGCTTAAGTCATAACCATATGCACAACAAATGAATATTAAAAGTGTAAATTTTGATTTAAAACTCTTCAATTTTAAGATTTAAGATCGTGTTAGAAAACTATGTGAATAGAAATTTCAATACTGTTTGCAACCAATCAAATGGCATCACAACTTATTAATGAAGAAATTGTCATATTTTAAGTAATTAATAGTGCGAACGATTAGATGGTAATAAGTAAAAATAATATCCTAATCAAAACTGGTGGGAAACGTTACATCAAGAATCAGAAAAGGTATTGACACTCGTGTTTCAATCCATTGCGATAGTATTACTCGCCGTCAACTTTTCTTGAACGATGACTTACCTACCCCTCTCTTGCGACATTATGATGAGGCAGAAAGAATGCGTAGCGAGCACTGATAAATTCCAAACATCTTCACTGTCGTTGAAGTAAAGAAACTTAATTTTTTAGACGAAGGAACTTTAAAACGGTTGGTTTTCTCCAAAATGAAAAAAGAATGACATAAGCAGTAAGACAACTAAACAAGGAGGTAACTCGAATCCTGGTATTTCTTAATTCCCGGAATTTTTAATGCACATGAAGTGAAGATACTCTCTCCATCCAGCCTCAAATGTGCTTTCGAAACAAGCGGACCTTGAAAATGACATCAAAATACAGTATACTGAGCAGATCCAAGCCTGAATAAATCTGGTGTTGACTAACTGTACGTTGATTAGATCAAGAGCAATAACTAATCTTATCCTGTTTGGAGAAAAATCTCATGTAGAACGTCGCTAAGCCATCAATACCATGGACTTTAAATGCACATGGTTGAATGCTGCTTCCTTCCTTTCGCATAATTTAGATTCAAATAATGGGCTCTTAAAAAGGTACAGTAGTGATAAATAAACATCCACAATGCAAAAAAGTTGGGACAGCTGTATTTCCTGTAAGATCAAAACGTTAACCAACTCTACCTTTAGAAAAAATCCATGTATAGGAGGAAATGCATAGCCATGATGCAGATATCATGATGCTAAAATATTAAATACACTTGGTTGAGAGGTTTCTTCTCCTGCCCATAATATAGTCATATAAAAATGCGACACCTGACCATATACGAAACTGTTAAACGTGAAGATTCATCCTGATAAAATGTGTACTTCAGAACTATACGTTTGCGAGAAATCAGGAGGGTAAATAACTTGTCCTGTTCAGAGAAAATGTAGAGAGTAAGTATTGACAATGTACACCATACTTGGAATTTTCGAATGTCGTCTGTTGAGGTGTGTTCTCCACCACCTCCGTCTCCACATTCTCTCCCGCCTCTAGTTCTTGAACACGGACCTGGAAAATGCAACAAAAAATACTAAACATTCCACCCTGACAAAAAGCTAGTGACAACCGTACCTTTGTGAGAGATCAAGAGCACAAACTAACCTCTCAGAGAAAATGTCGAAACAAATCTTGACCATTAATTACATGATTGGAATTTTTTAACTCACATGGGTTGAGATAGTGGTAGCATTAGAGATAGTCCTATCAGGCATGCCTCCTTTTAGAAGTCTTACGACTGAGCAGCCGGGACAACGCTGGATCGCACAAAATGCAGGTAATCAGGTGAAATGGGTCAGCCACTCGAAGGATGTGGTACAATGCAAAAAATATGGAAGGGAATTCTCGACGTTGACTTTGTTTTCGGTTTTCGATTCATTACGAAAGCTTTCTCATCATCCTCCTGTTCCTCGTAGTACTTAATAGCACTAATAATTAACCTGAAAAATGCACTCGAGTTTCAACACTTAATAGTGTCTGCTACACAAATTAAACTTTTCTTTAACGTAAATGCTGAATGTGCTCATTTAATCCAAACTACACAGAGGGGCGACTTCTCGACATTTCCCGCTTTATTATGCGTTTTCATAGCATTGGGAATTGTATCTTTCTTGGTAGCAAACATAACTAAAACGATTTAGGGGAACAGCACTCCAAGAATCCAGTGTAGTTGTGGTGAGTACGGAATTTACCATTTCAAGCTGTGGCTCGAGCTACCTTAATATCTGGAAGAACTCATTAGCAAGGTGCCACTGCGTAGACATCTAGCGCGCTATGCTTTGCGATCGGACTTTCGAGCAAGCTGCTGGACTGGCGACGGAATTTGTAACTCCTTTCTTGTAGAGAAATCTTCCTACCGACGAGCCGACATTTACGCCCGTTTTGCGCGCTTTCTATGCTTCTCGATGAAAATGGAACAAACAGCATTCGTATGCTGAGAGAAATAATTGTCACCTGAAAGATGAAACAAAATATAATTACTAGCAATTAACTTGAAAATTTTGAAAGTTTTCAAGTATTACGACTTTTCTGTTCACCATGTGCAGAATATATTCTTTTGACCATTTGCGACATTGTCGCTCCCGCTGTTTGTTTTTAAAGCATATCTTGCGTTAAAACAGAACAAATTTCACATGCTTAATTTAATACGACATATCTGAAAATCGTTAAGCATAATACTTACTATTAATTCAATTTTGAAAACATTTAGTGTTACAAGAATCACATTACTTCATATACAGCGTCTCCCTTTGACGAATTGTCGACATTGCCGACAATGGTATTTTCTCTGCATCTAGGATGGGTTAGTGCGGCATGCTTTCAGACGCTGCATTCCACTGATGATATCTGTAAAACATTGGAATATAATAGCAAATTAAATTTAATAACAATACATAAAATTTTCACATCTCACGAGATTGTTGTAATCCTTCTCGAGAATATCTCTCATTGGCCACTTTCTCATTGACAAATGACCTCTTGACAGTCTGCAATGAAGTGGGTTTCTAGTGCTTGTGGGTATAAGTGGTGCATCAGATATCCCCAAACGCGCATTTTAACCCTATATCTGAAAAACAAGAAATACGACCATGAGAATTACATTGAAAGACATTAATAGAAAAGTTTTAATTTTCACGACTTCGCTGTACACTCGTTTTGGAGAGAATATCTGCCTTGGACCAAATGTTGACATTGCCGTACGCGCTGAGCGTTTTAACTCATCTGGGATGGAATGGTACGACGAGCACTATCAGGTCTCCATTTCCGAGTTTCGCGTGATTATAATGTGTGTAGCAATCACAACGTCGTAATCTTCATTCCTATATTTTTTGTCTTTTAAGATCTAAAATGTCATTAATCAAGGTTCTGATATAATTCTCTATACAGCAATATTTAGTTTTCGACGATGGTTAATTATAAACTGCTGCCTTGTATTTTTAGCGCATTACATAGAGGATTAGGGAAAAAGCATTAAATTATATATATTTTCGTAGCTGCGCATCAATGCAGGGAGATTTTAACTTATGTTGGCGTACCCGAAACCGGGAGTGTCCATTGAACGAAATCTTTGGTAAAGTTGAAATAATTCAACGCATATTTATGACTAAAATTTTATACATCGCATCAGCTGAAAAAAATCACAACGAAAGCATAATCAGATTCTACCTAAAAGAAAATAAAAATGGAACGATGTCAGCAAGCTGCCGATTATTAAACCATCTTACATGATATTATTTGTTGCATTTCCGCCGTTGCACCAAATGTTGATGCTCGACAGCAAAAGACGCAATCATCAGTTTCATAATGAATATGTTTGAAGTGAAAGGATGATTCCTTCGCACGATCAACTTTCACCATACGCTCTCTGCTGCATAGTAGAGAGTCGAGGGTCTGGATTATAATAGAGGATTTACATTAAATGTGGGCATTGGCTGCGGTGCCAATGAACAAAACTGATAGGAAGATTTAAGCCTGGCTTGTGGACCAGATAGAACGACCAACTTAATGAGTTGAGGCTCATCAAACCTACGAAAGGAAGATTAACAGAGTAAGTTATAATACCATATACAAGGGTCGTGAACCACCAAGTCGGAGACAAAAATTGAACACAAGTGAATGGGATTTGATACGATAATGTCAATGTCGAAATCGAAACCTCTATTCCATGTATGAATCTAAAACGAGCAGAGGAACAAGAAATCTTTACCGTCTCGGAACATTACTCGCAGTACATCTGCGCATGAGTCGTCAAACACAGGGGCAAATTTTGCAAACGCTTATTTGCAATTTCCCATTTTATGTTCATTGACAAAATGTGAGTTTCATCCCTTCTACATATTGTGTCCGTTCCGTTGTGCCTCCTCTTTATTAAAATTATTCCCTTACGCCTATTATGTACTTACCCGAGTTAGAAATTGGAGGTAAAATTATATTTCTTTACCTACAAACCAAGAAGAGACGTAGACATTATTCAAATGTATATTCAGTACCGTGCTCAGTGGTACTGTTTGTTTATTCGGCGGCGTTAATCTGCACCGTCGCCATTTTCCTCTGTGACGCTTCCAGAAAAATCATTACACAAAAACAAGAGATCCTGTTATAAAATAACAAAAAAATTAATTCAACATTCACACATAATAACAAAATATTTACACCATTCTCATTCATACCGTGCATACCAGTTTTGGTGGCCATCTACGTTGTTTCAAGTGTGGCGTCATACGGGTGTAATCAGAACAAAGACGATAGTGGTTTGTAAAAATATACTTATTTAGAATCTAGACAGTCACAATTAAACAATTACACTACTTACAATTAACTAAAGAAATAGAACCCACTGCTAGGAGAGAATTTACGGAACGGCTACCACACCGCAACATTCGTTCAACGTTCCCTGTGCGGAGACCTACCCTGAGACCATCTACATGTCTCGCTAGTCACGACTGAATTGCCGGCCCCTTGCCCTCGTGCACCTACTCGCACAAATTCATGCACCACCTGCCGTCGACGCCGCTAGGAAACAAGATCGGGGCATTGCTCTCGTGGCCTTATGAAGGCCCTTCGGCGCTTGCTCCCTGCCTCCCCATTGCCTCCACCCTACCGCCGCCTTTCCACTCCACGTCCACGTCTACGGAAAGTCCCAGTGCGTCATCACTCCACCCTTTGTTAAACATTCGGCGATGTCCGCCGTCTGCTACGTGCTTGTCTCCGTGTTTTAGCGCGACACGGCTGTACAAACATGAGAGGCACCCCCACGAATTTTTTCGCAGATGCAACAACACAGAAAAAAAATTCCCCAAAATTTAATACCCTAGGCGAGGTGTCTCACATTTTAAACAACTGCGCCTAACATAACTAACTACATCAAATACATTACTTTTTTATCTTACTATACTATCTATTTCCTTTATTTCAGTTTAATAACTACAATCATCTATTACCCCTATTTCCTAACGCTATGATGTGGTATCCAATAATTTTTTCTATACCCTTCCAAAATATTACAAAAACAAATCCACCATTTAACCTTTTCAAAATATGACAAACAAACCACAATATAACCCTTTCACCAATTTTTCAATCATACACAAACCTCTTTTTTCAGATCACTAACTATATACAGTTTTTAATTCTTCCGTGAATCTATATCCGTAACTGTACTCTGTCCTGTACTGTAATCCGTCCTGTACATAAACTTACGAATTTCTTTACACATTCAAATTTTATTAATTACAATTTCTCTTCATCTGCGCGAATATAATTATGCAAAGGTTCATATATTTGTTTTCCGGAAAGTCCGTCTTGCTTCACTCCTTCCTTTCACTTTCTTGTACAACAACACTTATGGACTGTGTCGGCACTTTCTTGACGCGCACTAACATTACACGCGTTGCCGAGCAACGCACGCCTCTCTGCAATCCCAGACACTACCTGGAGCTGATTTTCGTACATATGGTTAAGAATGTCAGCGTTCACATTCTGACTACCCCTCCGATGTTTAATCTTAATATTCAAATGCTGAATTGCCAATGACCATCTCATCAGTCTGGGATGATTCCCGGAACATTGTTGCAACCAAACCAGAGGATTATGGTCGGTTTCTACCTTTAGGCAAACATTTCCATCTAAATAGTGCTTTAATCGCTGTAGTTCCCATATAATGGTCGCACATTCTCTCTGTCACACAAAATTTCATTTCCGAAGGAGAAAATTACTGATAAATAACACGGGATGCTCATTCCCTTCATCTAACAGAGAGTACAATCCCCGCCCCTCTGTCGGACGCGTCGCATTGCATTAAAATTTCCTGCTGAATTAAAGAGCATGAATGACGGATTCACCGCCCAGAACTTTCCACAATTCAACAAATGCATTTTCACAACCTTCCGACAATGATATTTGCCCATGTGTACTTCCCCTTAACAAATCGATGCGAGGCGCAGCCTTCTCCTAAAATCTCGGCACAAAACGCCTATTATAGGAAATTAATCATAGAAATTTCCTAATTTATTTTTTAGTATTCGGTCTCTGATATTCCTTAACCGCGCATACATTTACTTCGTTCAGCTTCATAAGAACGCTGCCAATTTCGTAGCCCAAAAACATTTAACGTAAAGTTTCGCCTCCCTTAGTATTTGGAATACCGTGCGTAAGTGACGTAGGTGATCTGACTAATCATTACTAAAAATATCCATGGAATATCATCCATGTAAGGAATAGCAAATTCCAAACAATCCTTAACTACAGACAAGGCTCATTCTTAATTCCACAAAGCATACGTAGTGGTTTGTAGCTTCCAAAATTCCAAACAATCCTTTACTACACACAAGGCGCATTCTTAATTCCACAAAGCATACGTAGTGGTTTGTAGCTTCCAAAATTTGTGCAGAAAGTGGCATATCTCTGCGCTCTTTCCGTCATCGTAGCTTACCAAAAGCTTTTGCTTAAATCACAAGTAGATATTTTCGCAGCTACTACAGTTTCGATTCTCTCATCTAAACTAGGCAGTGGAAAATATTCTACCATCTCGGATAAATCTGGCTTATCAGAAAAAATGTCCCTATATTCAACAGTTGTTTTTAGTTTATCTTACATTTCCGTTGTAGTATT